ATACCTAATGGCGAGACCTTTGAACACTTTATAAGTGGGATTTTTAAAACGCAATATAGAGTGATTGGATGACTATGAAATGGATTTAGAAAGTTGATAAAAGTAACTTTAATTCTTTATATATCCAGCTTTTTGAACACAGATATTATGCGCCATCTAGGTTACTTGTTTATCATTGGGATGATGGTCAAGTGAGTCATCTTTAATCTACTTATATGTTTCGCTAGACTAGTCTGTAAAAAAAAAGAAGATGAAGAACATTTTCGACTGACGATTATATTCTACATTTATTTGTTTGTTTTTAAAATAAACTAAGTTTTATTAAATTTTTGTTTAGATTGTACTTGTAAATGTCGAAAAATTATACGAAAGAACAGCTTTTAAAAGCTGTAAATAGTGGTTTTGATTCACTAAAAGCAGCTACGAAACATCCTGTTCCTGCAAGTACAATACGACGGCATCGTCGTAATCCTTTATTAAAAGCTCGTATTGGTCGACCATCATATTTAACAAATGATGAAGAAATGTATTTTGTTTCACTATTAAAATTACTTCCTGACTATGGTTTTCGTGCATCACGTGAAGTTGTTTTACAATTAGCAAATGATTATTGTAAATCTTTGGGTTTATCTCATCAACCAGGTGAAAAATGGCTTCGACTATTTATGATTAAATATACGAATGATATTAAATGGAAACGAGAACAAAAAATGGAACGTGCACGTGCTGAAGCTTTTACTGAAGAAGTTCGTGTAGGATGGTTTGGTGTTGTCAAAGATGTCATGATGAAGTATGATCTATTTGACAAACCTCATCAAGTGTTTAATATTGATGAAAGTGGTTTTAGTGATAAAACCAAAGGTGATTACATACAGAGTGGATATAAAATCTATTACATTTGTCATTTTTATTTTAGGTGAATTGGTTATTGTGAACGCAAATCGTCGTCATATTTTCGAGTCTGAAGGTGGATCTGGAAAAACGTTTTTTACAGTTTTAATTGCAATTAATGCAGGTGGTCTTTTGCTTCCTCCATTTGTTATTTATAGTGGACAGAACTTGGTGGATAGCTGGTGTCATGGAGGACCACCACAAACAACTTATACTGTTACAGATAAAGTAAGATATTGTTTCTGGGAAGACACTCTAGTAGTTTGTATTATTTCATATAAGTACTAATCTATTCAATATATTTCAGGGTTGGATGAACCGTGAAATGTTCGAATATTGGTTAAGCAATATTTTTATTCCTTCTACTTCACATCTAAACAGACCGTTGTTAATAATAATGGATGGTCATACATCTCACATTAGTCTCAATATTATCAACCTGTTGAAAAACAACAGCATAATTTGTCTTATTCTTCCTCCACACACATCTCATGGCCTCCAGCCTCTCGATTTGGTTCTTTTTAGTTCAGTTAAAAATGATTGGATTAAGATCATGAAAAATTATTTTAAAGAAGGGAACAAATCTTTAAGAAAAGCTGATTTTCCACGTCTTCTTAAAAAACTATTCGTCGATAAGAATGCATTTTCTGCATCTCGAATAGTCTCATCGTTTACTCGTTCAGGTGAGCAATCATACTAGCTTCTCTATTATATTTTGCTTATTATTTACGTACAGGAATATGGCCTTTTGACGAGCATGCGATGAAGGAGAAGGTTGTTCGTAAATATAACACTTCTTCAAATGCAACTTCCAACGATGATGAGAATAAAATTCCTTCAAATTTTCTTATCTCTCCACCTCGATCGATCAATTCAACTTCTTGCAATTCTTTTCCTTTATCTTCTTCTAATTCTTTTCCTTTATCTTCTTCTAATTCTTTTCCATCTACTACTTCAACTTCTTCCAATTCTTTTCCTTCTACTTGTTCAAACTGTTGCATTAAACAACAACAACAACAACAATCACCAACTACTTCACAATCAGTATTAGTTTCATTAACTAATAATTCAACGTTTGTTTCGTCAAATAATAATCCATCATTTGTTACATCCAATCAATCAGTTACATATAATTCACCTGCACCAGTTAATCAAACAATAGTTGATGGTAATATCGTATTACCATCAGATATAACTTCGTACATCGATCTTCAACAACATTCATTTAGTCTAATTTCTCAAATACCATCATCAACACCACCACAACAAACAACGTTGATTGACGAAGAAGAAAAAGATAAAAATGGACGAGATTCAATGAATACATGTAGGATTTTATCTGTCTTACATTAACTATAATCGATAACTAATGAATAATTACTTTTTTAGCTTTGGATGATAACGTTTCATCAACTCCAATTGTTGCTGTTCGTGATGTGATCAATAATCTTTTATCTCAACGTGATGCTAAATTATCTATGTCTCAGTCGTCGTCGAATCGTTCACGTGGTAAACGACTACAGAACAAGATCGGCCTCAATATCACAGACAGTGAATATGTTCTGTCGACATTGACACAAAAAGAAGAAAAACAAAAACAAATTCGTACACGTAAACCACGTGTAGCAAAAGATAAAACGAAAAAATCTCGAAAAACAGCAACAACAAAAAAAACAACTACATCAACAGCAACAGAAACAACATCCACAAACACAAATAAAGAAAACGGTCTTAAAGACCCTCATATTGCAGCTGCAATTCAACGTCTTGAGAGTGTGATTGAATTTACTCAATCAACAATTGATAATGACACTTTAGATCTAGAATTGTGATTTGTCTTTCTATATTCTCTTTGTTTTTTCTATTTTCTTTCGTTTTCTATTTTCTATTTCTTTTATCTTCATATTTATGTTTTTTTGTATAATTGAACTAATAAATTGATGAAATACAGCTTAATTCAGTGTATTAAAAATCCCACTTATAAAGTGTTCAAAGGTCTCGCCATTAGGTAT